GAGGGGGGGGGCTGTAGGACTGGGGGAAGTCTTGTGGGGCTGGGGGGCCTGTGAGGGGAGAGCCTGGGCTGGGGAGACTAGAGCAGGCTTTGGGGTCGGTGGGGAGCAGTGTGGGCTGTGGGGGGCTGAGCTGGGGGTCTCAGCAGCTTGGGGATGGGCTCAGGGCTGGTTTCACAGCCTCAGTGTGGGGTGGGAGGGGGGTTTGTGGCCAGACCCCCATGGTTTGGTTTAGGGTCAGATTGTGGGGCTGGGGCTGGGATCACAGGTGAGGGATGAGGATGCTCAGCGTCGCAGCTCAGGCGCTTGGTCTTGGGGTTCGGGGGGGGGCTGCCTGAGCTTAGACCGGGAATAACAATAGACCCGGTTACGAAACTCGGCAGACTTTCCGTTTTTTAAAGCACAGCAGAGCCCAAGGTGAGCGCTCCCTTTCTCTAAACCATAATTATTCCTGACAGCGAAGCAGATATCCCCATCGACGTGGAGACGGTGACCCCCACGCCCGTGCCGCTCTATGACAACCAGAAGGCTCGCAGCGTGATGAACGAGTGCGAGCGCCACGTGATGTTTGCTCGCACGGATGCTGACGCCCCTCCGCCGCCGGACGACTGGGAGGAACACGTCAACAGGTAGCTCAGGGGTAGCAGAAAAAAAGAAATCCGGGCTCTAAACAGCCGCCTGTTGCGGGTTGGGTTTGGTTTTTTTTTTTTTGGTGTGAATGGATATGCAGTGATGTTCCTGAAGGGTGTAATGTTCGAAGAAAATGAATTCTGGTGTCTAAATTCCTCGTCTGCCTGCTGTGAAAGCTGGCAGGTTTAATGGTAGAGGCTGGCCCAGCTGTTGGGAGGTCCAACAGCTTCCCGTGGAGCCATCTCCTCTGGTCGGAGGAGGCTGGGACAGTGAGTTGTTAGATTACACGTAGATCCTCAATTCGGCCGTGTTCCAATGTCAAAAATTAAAAATGAGGCTATGCATAAATTCCACCCTATTAAAAACCTTTCCTGGAACTGGAGTGGAGCCAGTTTGCAGTCTCGAAATTACAAGGAACACTGTGGGTTTTTTTTTCTGGACAGTGTCTGAGAAATGTGGTGATAATTACCTGTTTTAGCACAGACTGTTTTGGTCTTATTATTGCTTCTGCTGTCACTCTTGGTTTTCTGATACTTGGACGTTCACCGACACACCCTAGTGACATTTAAAACTAGGTGGTTTTATTGAATCATCCTTTAGCTTAAATTCTTAGTAGCAAAACTCACTTTGTCCATAACTGTAAAGCGGATCTTGTAAATCTTGCTGCTCAGCTGTGCTGCCGACTGCCTTGGGGAACGGGCAGCAGCTTGTAGGACCTGGATGTGTGTGTAACAGCCACCTGTGTTAACTCTCTGGTTTTCTCCACAGGACGGGCTGGACGATGGCCCAGAACAAGCTATTTAATAAGATTCACAAAGCGCTGCAGTCGGACAGGCTGGCTCGCTTGGCTAACGAAGGGGTAAGGTCTTCTACTCCTTATTTCACTTTCCAGCAGAGTTGCTGCCTGTGTGTTTCTATCCATCCTTCCTAGCAAAGCCCAGTTGAGTCAAGATGAAAGTCTTGACCTTTGTGTTGTGCAGTCTTAAGAAACAGGCAGCTCGAGGCTTCTTTGAGGCGTGATTTTTGTCCTCACTGCGAGGATGTTGGTCTTTGCTCGCTGCCAGAGGACTTTGGGCTGCCCAAGCCAATACTCTCCCGTGGCGTGGGATGAGGGTGCGTGTGCCTGGCTGTGAACCTCCTGCGTCACTGACAATGTAAAAGTATCATCAGCATTTGGGTTAGAAGATAAACAATGTCTAAATTAAGGACGCACTTGTGTTAGAAGACTAACGGCGTCTAGATTAACGTCGGCTAAATCAAAAGAATTTGTGCTTGTTAGGGAAGAAACAGTTAAGGGATTCCTTAAAATAACAAAGCAGAAACTTATCTACTGGCTGCGCACGGTTAGTAGTCCTTATCGAAAGTGCTGAGAGAAACTATTTTTTCAAATGAGCGTGCACTACAGCAACACACGGATTTGCTGTTCTTTTTAGATTGTACAAGAATGTATAAGGACTTGTTTTTCTAACAAACTTCGGAGCTTGACTGTTAACCATATCGGTGTGTGTCTTGTCTCACCACCTCGTCCTGCAAAGTAAGGCCTCCTGCTACAGTGGGATGCACGTGGCATGCTTGATTTTTCCCACAACTGTCTTTCTTTCCAATTTCCTGATTTTTAGGCTTGCAATGAGCCTGTCCTGAGGAGGATAGCGGTGGACAAATGTGCCCGGAGGGTCCGCCAAGCTCTGGCTAGTGTGAACTGGGACACCAAACTGATCCAGTGGCTTCACACGACGTTAGTGGAAACCCTCAGTTTGCCAGTGCTGGCTGCTTACTTGGATGCTCTGCAAACACTTAAAGGAAAGGTGATAAAAGCAGGGGAGGACTTTGCTGCCACTTGTAATATTCTTGCTGTATAAAGCTCGTTGAAGGAAACTGCTGGAGTCTTTCTCCTTTTTCCTTGGAGTGGCCGGGATGATGTTTAAAATCCCCCTGAAAAGGCTACGTGCATTTTCTCAGTCCTTTCTCGCCTCTGGTTTCAGATCCCCACCCTGATCGACAGGATGCTGCTCTCCTCTACCACGAAGACGGGGGCAGCTGGTGCTGAGGCTTTGTCTCTGCTGCTGAAGAGGCCTTGGGACCCGGCTGTGGGTGTCCTGTCACATAACAAACCGGTGAGTGCCTTGCAGGGAGCGAGAGCCTGGTCTTGCATCGGCTTTATTCTTCCCATCCTTCTGCTGTCCTCTTCCTTCCGCCTCTCTCTTGCTTCCTGGGCTCTCTTCCTCCTGCTTTAGTGAGGGGGATTCCTTCTGTTGGACACGTTCCCCCTGTACTATCCTGAGGCAGCTTTGGCTGGGGAAAATGTGATCCATTAATGAGCTGTGCGGGATCCCTCCTGCTTCGTTGGGCAGGGAAGTTGCTTTCCCTTACACATCTCTTTGTTGACCTTTGTAGAGCAAGTTGCCTGGTTCCCCCCTCATCCTGATTGCTTCCTCTGGACCCTCCAACTCCATGTTCCCCACTTCTCGACGGCACCGATTCTGGCAGTCGCAGCTTTCCTGCTTGGGAAAGGTTTGTATGGTTGATCTTGAAAGGAGGGGAGTTCAGCCTAGCAGCTGTGCTAGGCTGCAGCTGCTGAGCTTGTTTTTATAAGCCTTCAGTGCACCAGAATATTTGGTTCTGCTGAAAGCAGAGGCTGGCATCTGCCACCTGCAGTGTTTGACACTTGAGACACAGCACAGGGGATGAAGTTGCCCAAATCCAATGTGTCTGGGGTCACTTGCTGACCAGTCATCCATCTTCAGCTGTTTAGAATGTATCGTTACTGGTTTTAAGGGTTGATGGGTGAGTCTTCTGGTAGGAAGAGGTTGGAGAAGGGAGGCTATGAGTCACCTTAGCCCTCTGCCTGGCTGCAGAGCTGCTCACATACCTCCTAATTAACGTGGTAGATACACTGGGTGTATAGGAGCGAGGTGAGTTGCAGAGGTTGTCTCTGTGGGGAATTCTGTTTCCTCTGGTTTTTAGTAGCTAGAATTGAATCCTGGGGGAAAGAGGGAGAGAGAAAGCACAAGTTCACACAGAAGCGGGGTTCCAGTCGGTGCTGATTGTTGTCCGTACCTGTTGTCCGTGGTAATCCCTTCGTTATTTCTCGCTCTGTCGTTTCAAACCGCAGGTGATCCCCATCGCCACCCACCTGTTGAACAACGGCAGCGGGGTGGGGGTGTTGCAGTGCCTCGAGCACATGATCGGGGCCGTGAGGGGCAAAGTGGCAGAGGTGAGTAAGCCACGAGCATACAGGGGAGCCTCTGCTGCTCCCTTCAAACCCATCACCTGCACCGCTCCAGTGCGTCGTCCTGTTGGCTGTCCCTCTTCTCCATTCATGTCTCCTTTTTTTTTTTTTTTTTCTTTTCTTTTTTTTCGTGTAGATTCACAACCACTTCTCTCACAAGCCCATCATCCTGATCGGGTGGAACACGGGTGCCTTGGTGGCCTGTCACGTAAGTACCCGATTTTTTTGCATCCTCTCAGAGCCCACTTGACAGCTTCAGTTCAGAGTTAGATCTGAATTGCTGTTGCATTTAAGGCTCTGCTGGGGTTCTTGTCCCTTTTCTCTTTCCAAGGCCTGGCTTTGAGACAGACAGACATCCTTTCTGGTTGGGGACGCATAAGCAATTTGAGTCATTCCATGTTTTTTTTTTTCCCCACTCTTAATCAACAAAGCAGGGTCTAAATACAGAAGGTATTTCTGTGCCCGGCGGGAGCCTGGCAAAGCTGCCTTCACCCCCTCGATGCGCTTGGCTGGTAGGATGGTGACTGTTGCTTTTCCTGCCCAGGTTTCAGTGATGGAGTATGTCACTGCGGTTGTGTGCCTTGGATTCCCACTTCTCACCGTTGATGGCCCCAGAGGGGTAAGGACCAAAGGGAGATGGAGCTGATTGAAGAACTACACTTTTATATTTTGTTATCTCTAGATTAATAGAATTGGGCTTGATTTTTTTTTTTTTTTTTTTTTTTTTTTTTTTTGGAGGAGGGCCTGTTTTTATCTGCAGGCAGGACTGCTGCATTCATAGCAGGGTTCTTGATGCAGTAGCAGGTGTGAGAAGTTCTGTGTTTGCTTGTCTCTGCTGTGACATGGTTTTGCAGCTCCTTCCTGCGGGTCTTACTTGCAAGTCACTTGTTAACTGCGTCATTGGCACCAGAGAGGACAACTCGGGTTGATTTCTATGGAGCCCAAATTGCTCCTTTATTAGCTGACCACTGGGTTGGGAATGATTACGGTTGTGCTAATGAGATGGCTAATTCTGAGGGTGGTGGAAATCTGTATCAAAGGAATTTGCTCGAGGACGGTGCTGCTCTTGAGCGGTTTTATTCAGGCCGTGGTACAGCTGTGTAACTCCTCTTGGGGGCTCGCCCCAGGAAGCTTTGCTGTTGGTGCTTTGTCAGCCTGGTTCTGGGTTTGTGCAGCAAAAGCGTGGAAGGAGGAAGATGCAGTGAAATAGGGTTCCTGAGGGGGGGGGGTATCAGTCTCAGCTGTTAATGAGTAACAGCACTAGGTACTCATTCAGTTTCTGAGTGAGATGTTTAAACAAACCACACGATTTATACTTCTTTCAGGATGCAGTTGGTATGTACTGGGGTTGCCCATAAAGCGCTGTCTGCTGCTGTGGCACGTGGCTTCCCCTTTTGGAAATCCTCATCTCATTCAGGAAGGTGCTTGGCTCCAAAGAGTCCGTGTCCTGGATCAGTCCTCCTGGGTTACAGTTCCCCTTGCTCTTGCAGGATGTTGACGACCCCCTCCTGGAGATGAAGACCCCTGTCCTCTTTGTGATCGGTCAGAATTCCCTGCAGTGCAACATCGAAGCGATGGAAGATTTCCGGGAGAAAATACGAGCTGATAACAGCATGGTGGTGGTGGGGGGAGCAGATGACAATCTCAGGTAACGGTCTGCGAGGTGGATGCTCTCTTGCCAGAAATGCTGGGCAAGATTTTGAGTGTGCTCAGTACAAAAAAAAACCCCAAACCAACCCAAATTTGGTACTGAAACTAGATGGGAACTGCATAAAAATACTCCATCGAGGTCAGCTTTGTTATTCCGACCTGGTATGTTGGATAGACGGTTGGTTTTCTGTGGTAAATCTGCATCGTTTCTCCCAGTGGTAAGAATCCAGGGTGCAGTGTGGTGTGACACCAGAGCAAATATTGGCTTTTTCATGCCACCCCTGGCTCCGGGATATGTAGCTTTTGGAGGCTGCACGCAGAGTTGGGGTAAGGGATGAGAATAGGGCCTTTTTCCTCATCACTGAAAGTTTGTCTCGGCACTTTTGAGGGATGAATCTGGTCTTTCCAGTAGACGGTGCTCTTGAGTCGAGAGCTCACCCAGTTGGCTCTTGCCTGGCTCTGACTGGGAAGGCAGCGAGCTTGCTGTCGCTTGAATCTTGCTCTCGGGTGAAGAATGATGATCTGAGGGTGGAAGTGGAAAACCAAGCGTGTTGACATCTATCTGTTTTTTTAATAGGATAAGCAAAGCCAAAAAGAAGTCAGAAGGCCTGACCCAGAGTATGGTGGACAGGTGCATCCAGGTAACCACAGAAATCTTCCTTTTACACCTCATATCTATAAAACAATCTGTGTCAAAATGTATCGGTGACCACATGTGATAACCTTACTGCTGGGACTGGCTGGATTGAAGTTAATCTGCCTCTTGAGTGGGGTTTTGAAGTGGCTGCCTCCTTTCAGGAGCAGAGACGTGAGCTTCCTGGTAGCACGCCTTAAAGAGCAGTTTTCTGAGTCTTCCAGCCTGGGGAAGCAAGCAGTACTTTCGGGAGTGTTAGAGAAACCATTGTGTTTCTCTCCCAGGAATCAGTGGAGTATGAACCTTAATGAGAAAGCCAAGGTCTGTCTCTAAGGTTTTAGAGTTTCTTTTTGTACTCAATCTAAAGAGCCTTGTTTGTCTCTCTGGGAATCTTTCATTGTGGTTTTTTTTGTTTCCAGCTATGAAGATCAGTTTTTTTTTTAGAGGCACACCACTTAGTCTAACTATTTATTTCATCCTTCCTAGGATGAAATAGCTGACTTCTTGACTGGAGTCCTCACCCGAGCAGAGAGCCACTTGGGCTCCGATCCCCGTGACCTGGATGCTGAGAAGAAGAAGAAGCCACGTGACTCGACCAGGAGGGATCTGTCCTTTGACTTGCCAGAAAGAAGCAGCAGGCCTGCCTCGCCGGCAGCCAAAGTGCCTGCCTCGCCTTCGGGCTCAGAGGTAGGGGCTCCCTCTGGGATACTTTGAGCTGGGGAAGGCTGGGGTTGTGTAAAGAGATGCTTTCGTACCATTGAAATACGTGGCGAGAGATGTTGTCAGTGTTGGAGGGAGGTGAGAGGATACGGAGGGACTGTCGGCTTGTTGTGGGCAGATGAACCTTCAGAAAAAGATCTTCTCCAGCAAAAGGATGCCAGTGTGCTGCTATGCTCAGGTTGTGACTGCCTCTTAAGGAAGTGTGGATGTAAGAGGTGTTCTTTCTCTTTGAGCAGGACTTATCCAGTGTCTCCAGCAGCCCCACCTCGAGCCCCAAGACTAAAATGGCAGCTGTGTCATCCATCCAGAAGCCCAGCCAGATGGGCACCACGCAGCTGCTGAAGAGGCAGGTGCAGAGGACAGACACTGTCCTGACACACAAACAGGCACAAGGTAATGCCCTGCAGATTTCCCACCCTTTTCCCTCTTAGCATCTGGATTTTTTGGTCTTTATTTGTCCTGATGTGTGTAGTTTTTTGTCTTGAGTCCTGTCTTGAATTCCAAGCTCCCCGTGGCAGCTTTCTTTACAGCTCGGTCCCCTGTCACTGTCATCTGAAGGCAGCAGCCTGTGGAGGTTGAACTTAGGTTGGAAATGGTGTTTTCACAGCTTGCTGCTGCTCAAGGTGGGGAGGATTTTCACTTGTTCTGGCTGACCAAATCACCATGTAGCCATACTCGTAGTTCTTTTGCAAGTGTGAGCCCCTTGACTGGTGTCTCATATCCGTGAAGGCTGCTTGGGAGAGAGACTGAAGGAACTGAAGATGATTGAGGCTATTGAATTGTGACTGAAACAGTGGGGCTTGGGTAATTACAGAGTCATCTTGCATCAAATGACAGTGGAAAACCTGCTCTGGATAACAAGCCAGCTTGAGCTGTGGGTTTTTTTTTGTCCTGTTAGATGCTGATTAAAAACCTTACGGTGCAGCTCCAGTCTGATTGTGAACACTGTGAATGTAGGTAATGGTTTTGCTGGTGATAATCCTCTTCTGGCAAATATCAGTGGCACCTGGGGAACAGTTCTCCATCCTCCTTTCTCTCCATATTTCTTTGCTCAAGACAGACCTGAACAGGCTTCTTGTTTTCTGCAACAGTGTGGCCCTTCACCTTCTCTAAAGACTTTCTCTAACTCAGGGGTAGGCTCCAGAGGGAAGTTGAAGCTTGAATCTCCGGTAATTTCTCAGACCATGGACTAAATAAATCTGTTCCTTCGTTGTTGCAGTTGAGGGGGGAAGTTCCTAGACAGCATGCAGGAGGAGGGTCTGTGGAGTGGGGTGTGTTGTGGCTGCTTTATTTTGTCAGGAGCGCTGCTGCAGCGTGGCTTCTGGCCTGCCTTTTGTGGCCGTAGCTGCTCAGGGATGTGCTGGCTGACGTCTCCCAGCTGCTCTCAGCTTCTCAGTGCAACTGCTTGGTCAAGCTAGCTGTGCCTCTTGCAGCCAAGCCTGCTCCTGGTCCCTGGATCTTTTTCCAATGGCTGTGGGGCTGGAGAGGGCTCGTGCTGTCGGGACGTGCTCTCTGTGAAAGCTGGGACAATGGCCCTTCTAGCGTTGGTTGTGCCACGCTGCCGTCTGGAGAGGAGCTCATTGTGTCTCCGTTGTGCCCCGTGGCTGGATGAGTCGTGTCTGGAGCTCCCTGCTCGCTCTGAGTCTCTGTCTGTGGGTCGCAGTCGTGTCCCTGGAGTTCCCTGTCCCCCTCCAGAGCCGGGCTGCGATACTGTAATTCTCTCTGATTCATTTCAGCTCAGTTCGCTGCTTTTCTGAAACAAAACATGCTGGTGAGGAAAGCTCTTCCTCCTGGCACCTCTTCATGTCTCTTTGGTGAGTATCTCCTCACTTCTCGCTGTCTCTCTTTCTGTCTCCCTCATTCTCTCTGTCTCTGCTACCTTCTTTCATCGTCTTCCTCTTCCCTTGCATTGGTTTGGGGATGTGGCCCCATGTGTCCCCTTGTCCCGCTGCTTTCTGCTTTCTCATCGCTGTATTTGGAGCTAAAGCAAATGGCCACTTGCTAGCTGAGAGCATTAACCGTCCCTGAGCTCTTCCCCTTTCCCTGCTCTGGTGGAGTAAATGCTGCTCTTCGAGCCGTCTGGTCTGGCAACCCGTTTGCTCTGAGGGACTGAGACTTTGAGTGATGTGGTGACTTTTTGTGATCGTGAATTTAACCCTTCCCTGGGCTGGGGCTGAGGAGGGGACGCAGACGCCAGCCTGAGCGTGTCGGTAGAACGTCCCGAACACGTGGAGCAGTGAAGGTGCTGTCAGTGGGAGCAGGAACAAGGGGCTGCCAAGCGACTCGGAAGGGGCAGATGTAGATGTGTGAACAGCATTTCTTGGCCAGATAGAGTTAGAGAAGAGCAGAGATGTCGGGTTGAGAGGGATGGCTTTGGGAAGACGGTGATGTGGTGGGAGAAGGATGCTGCCTGGACTGGGAGACATGCGGAGGTGTCTTTAGTCCTGTGGTCTCTTGCGTTGGACGCTGGAGCACGCGGAGAGGTGGACCTGTGCGTGTGGTGATCCAGAGGTTCGGGATCATGGGGTGAGATCCCTGGTGTATCTAGAGACACATTTTGCCGTCTGGAAGGGCAGTGACTGTGTGCATCGGGGATGAGAGGTTGAAATCCAAGGCTTTGGGCGGTTGCGGTGTTGTCACGTGAGCTGTCGGTGTCAGTTCTCTGTTGGGGTGACCCCAGCGTGCTGTGAGAGCGCTGATGTGGGTGACAACCGCCTCTCTGCAACACCCCGAAGGCCTTCTAACTCCACGAGGCAAGCGCTGGGTGCAGAGAAGCTGGTGGTATTTCGGCAAGCTGAGACTCCAGAGGTACAGGCTCCCTGCTTGCCCCAAACACACAGGAGATGCAGTCCAGACAGCACGTATACAACCGTGGTAACAAACTCCTGAGGGAAGTATTGGCCCAAGAAGGTTGTTTTAAAGATTTCTTTCCCTCTTGAGCCTTGTTTTGTGCTCTCCCCGTGCGATGAGGTTAGTCTGGGATCACACGTGGTGCCCTACACTTAATCCAGAGTCCTCCCACCCAAGCATCTGCTGGGAAGAGAAACCACAGTGGATGTTACTGCGCTGGTGGGAGACGTGGAGAGGCTGGTACCAGCCTGGGCTGCTTTTCAGTAGGATTAAAAGCTGATTTAAGATCTCTAGGCTGTGGGTGTGTGTGTGTGTGTGTGTGTGTGTGTGTGTGTGTGTTTGGGAGCGTTCGCTGTTGTTTTGGGGTCGGGGTGCTCCTCCCACGTGCACAGCCAGCCCTTCGTGCGAAGCAGGCTCAGCTCTCGTGCAGAGGGACGTTGGCTCACTGATGCTTCGAGGGGCACCTAACGCCTCTGCCTGTGTGCATGTGCCATGTCACTGTCCTGCTTGGCTGGTGGCACTTTCTGGGGGCGTGGGGCGGGGAGGGCTGTGGTGCCTGCAGTCTGTGCACGCCTCACGAGGTCTCTCTGGATGGTGATTTGCACCACGCATGTTTGTGGCAGGGGTGGGAGGCACGGGAGTGTTGCACGAGTGTCACGACTTGACACGCTGGAGCCACGAGGCCGGCTGTTGGTAGCAGCACGGCGAACTTGGTGCTTGGCTCGGGGAGCAGAGCCGCCCCGAAGCGCTTGGAGTCACCTGATATCTTGAGATTTGGCTGCAGTCGTGGTCTACACCCTCAGTTTTGAGGTGTGCAGGCGCTGTGATACGCAGGGAGCGTATACATACATATATATGTACACACACACACTCACATATGTGTATCTCAATTTTATAGAATATATTCATACCTAGATATATATAAAAATTAAAATAAGTGTATATTTTGGCCTTTAGGCTGCTGAACACATGGCTTAGATGCCCAGGATCATCTGTAGAGAGGGAGTTAGCTGCGGTCCGCAGAAGCTCTTGCTGGAGAGGACTCTCTGTAGCTTTGAGCGAAGGCTTTTCCCCTCGCTGCAGCTCACAGCAGCCCTCGGGCGTAGCGGCAGCTGCATTTCTGAGCGCTGCCAGGCTGCAGACGCCCCAACGGGAGGCAGATCCGTGCCCTCTGCCCTCGGTTTGACCTGCTCCACCAGCGTTTCAGGCTGGGGCCGGCCGATCGTCCGCCGGCCGTGGGAGACGCGCGGAGAGCGTCTGGTGACTTTGGGCCGCCTGGAGGCACTTTGTCGTGGGGCCTCTGCTTTTTTGGGTAGCCCTGGCCCCAGCGAGCTTGTACTCTAGGCAAGATGAAACGGACGTGACTGGTCGAGGCCATGGCAGCAAAACAGGCTGCTGGTGCAGAAGAGGAATCTCGGCTCCTGGTTTTTCTCCCTTGACACCGAGCAGCATAGGGTGTGTGGGGGCTTGGCTTTGCTGCAGCACCTTTTATGCTCCCGTCTGCTTCGCTTTAACGCCTCTAAGAAACCTGCACGCTTCCATCCGGTGCCTGGAGGGCCAGTTAGGAGTGCTGGAAGGGATGTGCCCAGCGACAGGCATGCCAGTACCTTTGCTGGTGTGTTGGAGGACCGGGCAGGCTGAGCTCTGATCCCAGCATTAGCAGCGTGCCTGCGCCAGCTCCACGAGTCTCTGCACCCTCGTCCCCTGGAAATTAGGGATATTGGAGGGGTCTTGCTGCCAGGATTGATTATGCCACGCTTTGAAATGGAAAGGGTTTAGGTGGAGATGTGTTACTACTGTAGGCATCCATTTTTCTCTGTTGCAGAGGCGAGAGGAACTTTATATGCTGTCCTGCCTTAGCCTGTGAGTAGCTTAAGCAAAGTCCTGGCCCTAAGACAAAAGCTTAGGGCACGTGGAAGTCAGCATAGGTGGTGAAAAGGAGAAGCGTGGGTTCCTGGTGCATGGGAGATGGGCAAGGCTGGCATGAAGGGAGCTGTGGAAGTGTGCATGGGCATGTGTCCCTTCTCCGCACCTTGGTGCGTGCAGTGGAGCAGCGCTGACCTCGAGGGATCAGCCGTCACTTTTCAAAAAGCTACTTCTGTGTCCCCTAGTTCCAGTCTCCTCAGAGCACTCGGAAGGGGCTGAGAAAGATGATGTGCGTATGCAGCTGAAGAGGCATCAGACCCCCAGCCCGACCCAGTGCACCAAATCCTCCAAACGAGCCAAAATCAAGGTGACCATTGTCTCCCACGGAGATGCTGGCGTGGGGAACGGCGCACCCCTCACCACCCAGGCAGAAAGTGAGTTGCCATTGCATAGCTGCTTCTTAACCAGAAAATGGGCTCGTGGCTGTGCCCAGACCTGCTCCTCTGGGCCACAGTGTGGGGAGGGGAGGGGAGCTGTGATTTGGTTTTTGGTTTTTTTTTGGAGGAGTTAGCCGCAGAAAACAGACAGAGGCTCAAGGTGTGAGTGACTTGGGGATAGCTGGGGAAGCGTGGGGGCTGACAGCACGTAGGAACTTGGCAGGAGCCTCTGTTTTCCACAGCAGTTGGGATTGCACGCTCCAGCAAAACGCTCAACCGCAGCCTTGTGAGCTGTGAGGTGAATTTTTACACCTTCAAGGCCTCAAGCTGCTGCTGGAAGCAGGACGCTGGTCCTGGCAGACCTCTTGCTCCAAGTAGATTCACGTGTATCTCCGGTTCTGCTGCCCACTCCTCCGACTCCTGGGCGAAGCTCTTGCCTGGAACGTGCTCCCGCTTGAGGGATGATGGCAGTGTCCTCCCTCTGGAAGACCTTCATGCTTTCAAACTTCACAATTCAGCCGAGTGCCTCGCTCTGCTGATCCCTTCTGGGCCTGAAGTCTGGCACAACACACGCTTGATACATTTATAAAAAATTCCAGCTCCTCTCCCGTCTCTGCGGCTGGGAAAAACCCACCGCGACACGCGTCCACGAAGAGGTGATGTGCTCGGTCTTCTTCCCCTTGAGCCTTTGCAAGAGAGGCCAAAAGCTTTGGCTGCTGTCACCCTCGTACCTGAAGGCTGTTGCTTTGTTGCTGGCACGTCGCATCAGTGCGGAGCCCCAGATTCGTAAAGCAGATGCATTAGGTGGATGCAGTGCAGGACTGAAAGGTCAGCATCTTCCTTCTGATAGGAAATCGGAGGTTTTCAAAGCTGAGAAATAATTCTGCTCCTTTGGAAGCATCTCTCAGTACATTCACCAGTTTGTTTTGAACTGTGAAAATGAACTAATAAATATCCATCTTTTTTTAAGGTTCAGTCTATCTTCTGGCAGCTCTAAAAGTCTCCGGTTTCTGGAATCTTTTTTTTTTTTTTAATTTTCCAAACTTTACTTCTTTTCACAGAAAGGAAATGAATTGCAGAAGTAAACACGAACCAAAACAAGAATTCCCTCTTACCGGGTGTGAGCAGGAGGAATGCGCAAGAGAAAGCAGTTGTATCCCAAAACGCCGCAATAAACAAATATTGTGACTCGTGGCATCCCTGTGTATTTTGTAAAGTCTCTCTACAGAATGCTTACAAAATCGATTGCTAGTGACCAGCCAGAGCCGAGCTAATCGGTTGAGGAGGTAGACCTGTGCCGTGATGGACTAGGAGAAGGGGATTAGCGGAGATGTTTAGGAGACAGATTGCTGTTTGGTGGTGAGGGCCTGAGATTTCACTGCTTACAGATTTTGAAGCCGATTCCTTCCCCCTCGTGTGTCGTAACGCTTCCACAACGGCAGTTTTCTGGTTTTTATTCGTGACTCTTTCTCTGTTTGATACTCCCCATCTCCTGTAGCGTGTGGTTATGGCTGCAGCGGAGCTTTCCTTCAGAAGATGCCTTGTGAGCAGGATGAGCCCGCGGCCTGCAGTGCCCGTGGGTAGCTGTGTGAGAGAGGGGGAATCCCTAAAGTCTCCTGGAGGAGAGAGAATGAGTTTTCTCCTTTCTTTTTTTTTTTTTCTTTTTTCTTGCAGTTGTCGCTGGAAAGCCGGTCCCCATGGCTGTCGGCCAGTCTGTGTCGGGCGCAAAGGAGCTGTCAGGGCTGCTCACCACCTCCAAGTGAGTGCAGTTTTGGTTTTTATAAGCTGTGGGTCTTTTTGACAGGCGGCTGATGGGAAGCACCGTGACGGGGCGCATGTGGAGCTTTCTGGGATCTAGCTTATGACTGGAATTAGCGCAGGAGACTCTCGGGCTCCTGAAAACTGTTTGTCAGCTGGCAGTTGAGTCTGAGAATGGCAGAAATGGGCAGAGGTAGAAGGTATTGTGGCTGTTGGGCTGTATCTCTGTGTGGTTTCCCAAATCTGTTTGCTTATCTCTGCCTTTTGAGTGATGTTTTTGCCAGAAATTCAATGTTGTCTTTAATCCTTCATTCCCTCTTCAAGCATTTTTTTTTTCCAAAGCTAGGGGAAAGAAGCCTCGATATCTGCTCATGAAGATCATTAACTGACCCTAAGTAGGGATTTCTGTTGGGGAATTAATCCGATGTTGACACCTCATATCACTGATTTCCCCTTCAATTCAAAACAAGCTTTGGGGAACTGAGCTCTGATCTGGCAGGGGAGCAGAAGAAGAGCTGTTTTCAAGTAGCAAGTAGGTTTTAAAGGGGAAATGTGTCGCTGCAAGGTAGATTGCTTTTGTGTAGTAGAGACACAGCCCTTGCGGCACCTAGGTAGGCACGCACACTGTAACAAGCTCCTTTCCAGTTTGGAAATACACAGATTTTGCCCTAGGTGCTCCTTGTTCTAGCTGCCAATGGACGCAAGGAAACTTCGCTTTGGGTTTTTGTTGTTCAGCTCCTTACTTTGCCCTATCAGGAGTCCTGCCATCTTGCTTTGCCCCATGTAGTTTATTGCTAAGCGGAGTCTTTCTCTTCTGCTCCCTCCGTAGGCTGAGTTCAGCGGCAGAAGCCTCCTGCACGAGTCCTGCCCCCCCCGCCGGGCTCCCCAGCAGCACAGCGCCCAGCGCGTTCCATGCCCTGCAGAGCCGGCTGGTGGCCAGCAGCACCCACTGCCTGCAGGCCCAGCCAGCCAGTACCCTCCAAGGTACCTACCTCTCTCCATCTCTCTTGTGAATGTAAAAGGTAAACCAGGTTCAAAATCCTTCGGTGGATCCTCTTTCTTGCACTCCGTTTGCTTTGGGTTTGGCCGAGGCAGCGTTTGTGGTGCTTTGCTATTGCAAAGCCTGCGGAGATCCAGCGGGATGGGTGCAGCGGATGACCTGTTGTGTCATTTGTGTGTAACGATGTCTTGAGGCACCAAACCCGACCTTCTCTTGCCTCCCCGGGTGTGTAGCTGCAGCAGTGAGAGGTGTTGTGCTGCAGCCTGCTGACCTCGAGGCAGGCTGCTGGGGAAAGAACAGTTTTACAGACCCCTGCTGTATGACAGACCTGGAATTTCATGGTGATGAATCCTCAAAGCCTTATATTTTTTTAGGAGCAGCATCTGCCAGCAGCCTGCTGCAAGGGCTGAGCTTCAGCCTGCAGGACATCGGGACCAAGTCATCAGCCCTTCCAGCCAGCGTGGCTGCTGCTGGGTCGCCCGTGCAGGTACGGAGCCCGCAGGCATCAGCAATCCTCTCTGGAGGGAAGCTCTGTGAAGGACAAAGTGGTAGGAGTCAGAGAGAACTTAGGCCATGTTTGCTCCAGAACCAGAAGATGTGAGGCATGGTAGGTGTGAGCTGCAGCTGAAGTGATGTGCCCAAGCCTTGGTGGTGTGCAGGGGCCAAGGCTTGCTGTAAGTTGTATGAGGCCTAGGAAATGGGGCTGTGTGGCCACCTAGAAAATACTGAGGAGTTGGAGAATGGACAGGGCTAGGGGGGAATCGGTGATCTTTCTCCTCCTTCTTCTGGGAGAACACCAGCCTGTGACCTCTCAGGCGATGTTCCCCATCCCTGCGATTTGAGGTGACCTCTGAACAAGGTTAGAAGCAGAGCCGCAGTTCCTCCTGGTTGTGCTTTCAAGTTGAAATGAGTCTGTGCAGACTGGAAGGGACAAGTTCACTTGCGTTTAGACCTGCTTGTGGCCGTCAGAACAAAGTGTGGAAACTCTGACCTCTAAAGACCTCTAGCTTCTGTGTGGAGGGAGAGGCTGTGTCGTCCCAGCATCCCCCTTCCTTCCAGGTACTCAGTGCTTCTGCTTCTCCTTCCAGACCTCAACTGTGAAGACGCCGGCGCCTCTCCAGAACCTGAGTGCCATCACCACGGGCACCGGCACGATCGTCCGCACCATCCCGGTTGCCACCTCCTTGTCTCTGGGAGCCTCAGCGAGTGGGAAGCCCACGGCCATTCACCAGCTGCTGACAAACGGGGGACTGGCAAAGCTGGCCAGCAGCCTCCCTGGCTTGGCTCAGATCTCCAACCAGGCCGCAGGTGAGGGCAAAGGGGGACAGGCACGCGACGCAGGCGCCTGGAGCACCCCCACCGCCCCGAGACCACCTTTTCCAAAGCTTTGAGCCGTAGCCACGACAGCTGTGGGCACTAGCAATTTCTGAGCGGCTCCCTCAGAATAGGAAGAGGCTTCTGATGCACCCCCCTGGTTGGGGGAAGGCGGCCCCCCTAATCCTCAGGTCTCAGGGATGTCTCGCTCGTGTGTTTCCTAGGCTTGAAGGCCCCGACGACCATAACTGTGACGCTGCGTGGGCAGCCCAGCCGCGTGACCACGCTTAGCCAGGCTGCCATGGGGACTGTCCAGCCCCAGCTCGAGGAACAGCCGATGCAGACGCAGGCACCTCAGGTAATTTTTGGCATTTTCTCTGTAGGGAAAGTGTCCGCTGCTGCTCTTCTGAGCTTTTTCTGACCATCGTAGTCAAGGGCAGCTAGAGCTGTCCTGGAAAGCGTGTTCTTGGTCACACCTCTTGGGTGTGATGAGCTTTGTTGCTTTGCTGAGGCTGCACAAAAAGGGGCCTCCCAAGGTGTGGTGGTTAAGAAAATTCAGGTCATCTTCGTGTTTGTTAGTGGCAGGGCTGGTTGTCTGGATACCACGGTGGTACCGCACCGAGGGAATCTCCAGCTAGACCTCGAAAGCTGACATCAGCATGGGAATTGTTACTGAAGCTCGAAGTTTTCTTGGCAGCGACAGCATTTGGTGGGAGGAGGAAAGCTGCTTGTAGAGTGTCTATCCCCTGCCTATTCAGGCAGGAGAGTGGGTTGGCCGTGCTGTCTGGAGCCGTATTCCTCTTGAAACTGCTGCTTCTATTAGATGCCGTGATGTGAGGCTGGGCCCTGTGATCTTTGGGACACTGTTTCCTTCTGCAGGTCCCCAGCTCTGGCTCTTTCTTGTTGCCATGCTGTTGAAACCCATTTCTGAAGGGCTAAGTGTGTGCTCCAAGGCTGTATCTGTCCCATACAGATCTCCTTTTGGAAGTGGATCACTGACAGCAGGAAAAACTCTTGCTATTTGGATTCTCACTGAGTGCCAGGTTCTATCTCAAGGATCCTGGCTGCCTTCCTGTTTCCTAGGTTAAGCCTTGGTGCGGTTGAATTGAAAGCACAAGGTGCCAAGTTGGAGAGTTTTAGGGTTTTTTTTCATCGTGAATATAGTGGTCTTGGGTACTGTAACATGAACCCCTCAACCCTAAATCCTGGAGTGAATTTACTGCAGGTGTATCCTTGGGCTCTGTCCTAACCTACTGTCAATTTTAAGCTGGATCCATAAATGTGAGGGTGGAAGGGTTGGCTCTGACTCCCTGCACAGGATGGCTGGGATGTGCCATCAGCAAGGCTGACTAGAGCTTCGATGGCTTCCCTGTGGTCCCCTCTCTGGTGCTCTGTGGCACTCGGGTCTCTCGTAGATGCTTTTCCTGGACACAGGGATGGAGAAGACAAGCAGCCCGGGCCTGGGAGCTGCCTCGCGGGGCTGAAGGAGGCGTTGCAGGAGGAAGGCTGCCGCTTGCCTGAGCGAATACTGAGGGATGGAACTGACTGTAGTGATTGGAGACAGGCATTTGCAGGGTGAAAGTAGTTCAAAAAACAAGTCAACGAGCTCCCAGAATGATAAATGCTGCAGTTTGGGCAGTCAGATGGGTGTGGAGTGTCCAGTGGTGGATCAAGCTCCAGTTCCCAAAACCAGAATTAAAAAGCTGCTGCTGAAGGCTGAGGATGCTGAGATTGCTCCAGATTGGCAGGGCTGCTTCTTTTTGCTTGGGTTTTGTTTTGGTGTTTTTTTCTTTTGGGGCCGGAGGGAGTTTGTTTTGTTTTCTCTTGCATGTGATGTTTCTCCTTTTGCTAGCACTAATGCAGGTCCTGGGGAAGCTGGTGTAGGAGAGGCAGAGCAGTCGTAGATGAAGCTGTGTAGTTTGATCCCTGCTGCTGGGGTGATCCAAGTTGTGGGCAGCACTGTGGAGGCGGGGAGAGTGCTCCTACTCCTTCCTGCTGTCTGCAGAGGCTTGAGGTTGCTTGAAGCCCTGAGATACATTTAGGGAGGCGTTATCCTAAGGGTGATGCCTTTGGGTGGAAGTTGGGTAAATAGTAGCAGCCATAAATCCTTAATTTGTCCTGTGTTGCTTCAGAGCAGTTTCCATACGGAGTCCTGGTCTGCTGGGGTTAAAGCTCAGATTCAGGAGCATCCATGTCTTTCCTCCCTTGACTTTTCTGTGTTTCTTTCAGTCAGTCACTAGCACGGCAGAGCCTGCGAGTGTTGGCAGAGCTGAGCTTAGAGTAGAGCTCGGAAACACAGAGCTAGTGACACTCAGTGCAGATCCCAACTAAGCAGCGGGTGAGTCGCTTTCACAGGTCTGAAACTCTTCATCCGTGCTGGAGGCAGTTTTTGTGCTCTTCAAAGGCCCTTAGATAAACCATCAGAACTGGCGTGCTTTCCTTTACGTCCTTTTGAGAGACCCTAAATATCCAGCAGAACAGTAACTCCGTGGCGTAGCGAAGCTCGGTACAGCTCAGTTCCAGGAGTAACGGGTTTGTGTTCGGGTTAATGTTTTAAGGTGGTGGCACTTGGAACTGGATATTGGATCCTACGCTGTGACTTGTACCTACAGTGCTGAGCCTGTGTGTTCAAGGTAGGGCTTAATTGTGTGGCTGGCTGCGAGAGCTGCTTCAAAAGCAAACTGAAAGCTGGCTTTTACAGGAAATGGAATGAGCTGTGTGTTTTTGTAACTAATTATAGCCCTTGACATCAGCTCATGTGTACCTTTAGCACACAGGATTACGTAATCGAGCAAGGCTTCCTGTAAAAGAGCAAATTTACAAAAGGCTTTGGGGAATAACGCTGAGGGCTTAAACTCTTGTGTTTTCAGCAGTTGTCGGTTGGGTTCCCTTTGAAATTCCAGCTGACGGCTCCACTGTGCCTGGGCAGGAAGCGTGAAGCCCACGCATCAGCTGCGCCCTGTGATTTTTTTTATTTTTTTTTTTTTTTTTTAAACTCTGGGGGCTGGGGTGATGCCTGTATCTAGCAGTTGAGATGCAGTTTGAGTGGGTAACTCTTTTCCTTCCACCGTGGGCATTACACGGGAGGCAGAAGACTGAGGAATCCCCTTGGGGAGCTTGGTGCAAATCCTTTCTGGGAGTAGCGGAGTAAGAAGCAGCAAGAGTGTTTGGGTGGCTTTAAACTGAAAATACGATCAAGCTTCACCTTCTCTTTCCAAGAAACTGCTCCATGGTGGTTTGAATCTTGCTTTTTATATAGGTTCCCCCTGCAGCGTGGTTATATCCTGATAGTAGCTCCATAGAGCGTGGAGCGATGCTGGTGTTTTC